TTTCATTGAAAATACATTTGTATTTTTAACGATTTCTATTATTTTATATTACAAGTAGATCAAGGTAATAAAAAGTCTCCCGAAGAAAATGAAGTACGAGATGAGGAAACGGAAATCAGTCGACTATTTGGATCTGAACAAATGCACATACATCGTTGTTTGAAATGTGGTCAAGAAGCTACTAAACATTCTATCATGTTACTGTGTAATTTAGTGTACCCCGAAATAGTTAATCCATGTAAGATGTTATCTAATAATTATATTATTTGTATACATTATTAAGGTGATGTAACATAGAACTATAAAATTTGGTTTCTTCTAGCAAAAGAGATTCCATTTACAAATATACTTGAACGAAGCTTGAGACCAGAAAAAATTACTCCTGCGTGGTGCGACGAATGTCAAAAGTTTACGCCTACTCTTCAATCTCGACAATTGACCAAGTTACCTCAAATATTAGCTTTAAATTGTGGCTTAGATACGCAACAGGTAGAAAATATTTGAACGTAATGGATTTAATTATATTCAAAATTATTATATGTATAAATGATTATTGATTTTAGGATAAAGCTTTTTGGCAAAATCAAATGGACATAGTCGTACGGAAAGTTATAAATAATAAAGAGGCTAGTCCTTCATCCAGTCCTGTTCCAATTACTGTTAAACCATGTAGATATGGTAGCAATTGTACCAGAGTTGGTTGTAGATTTAGGCACATTGGACGTGATTCAGGTACACTCAAAAATAATATTTCATAAAATCTATTAGAATTTGATCAAGATATACTGGAATATATTGAAATAATATTTTTTAAATAGAAACATTAACGGTGTCACCTGCTACAACACCTATTTCAAATATAACTACCACGAATACTTCAACACCACCGAGTCATCTGTATTATTCACATTCATGGATTCCTCATAATATTGAAATTTCTATAAATGAAAATGGCATATTGTCTGTTGAAAAAATAAATTCACCAAAGATCGATGATAGTACTACACCAACTGTATTAGAAAATGGACAAGATGATAGCAATACGGAAAAGACTTCTAATAATATAGAAATAATTAAAGATAAAAATGAAAGTGAAAGTGCAGAGACTGAAAAGAAGACTGAAGAACAAACAACAACTAGCTTGACGAGTAAAGCTCAATACAGCCTTAGCGCGGTTGTTTGTTATGTGGATGATAAAAATAATGAAGAAAGAAGAAACCTTGTCGCATTATTACGCGTTGGTCCTAACTATCATAAACGATCAACAGGTAGTGCGGTATCTCAGTGGTATATTTTCAACGATTTCTGGTAAATAATATATTATAAATAAATATCATGTGTGTGTGAACATCACACGTGTTAGAAATGAAAACTTCTTAAGACCAAGCTTCGAGAGAATGAATCGAATGCGGTAAATTGAAATAAGAAACAAATGCATACTGTCTTCAGTCTCATTCTCTCTTAGGCTAAATCCTGTAGATATATATACGTTTGTCTCTTTTTCTCTTTTTAGTTCGTTTCCATTGCCATGGATTTTCGTTCATTTTTTTCAAATCACCCACCCCCATTCTAAAGAAGTTTTCACTTCAATAAATATCTTCCCTGATAACTTAAAACACATCTAACAAATATTTTGTATTACAGCATATCTCCGGTTACACCACAGGAAGCAGTTTGGTTCAATCTCGATTGGAAAGTCCCATGCGTACTTCATTATACAATAATTCCAGCACCAGAACCATCGACATATGTAAGTCCACTTACTTATGATGTCTTTGGCGAGGACAAATGTATTGCACGTAGTGGAGGAACAACGGGTATTACGTTTACACCTCTTTCGTCTGACGAAATGCCCAAGAAAGGTACGATATGCGAATAAATAAAATAATAGAACGATGATTCTCTGACAAGATCCATTTATTATTTTAGGAGAACTAGTAGGAATTGACGCAGAATTTGTTACTTTAAATCAAGAAGAATCGGAACTTCGAAGCGATGGAAAAATGTCTACGATTAAACCAAGTCATATGTCTGTTGCAAGGATTACTTGTATACGAGGGTATTATATTTAATTTAAATATTGAATCTCTCGTACATATATATATCTTATAAATATTACTTTTTTTTGTTTATATTTAAGTAAATTTAAATTTGTAGACAAGGTCCTCTCGAAGGTACACCCTTTATCGATGATTACATTAGCACACAAGAACAAGTGGTTGATTATCTTACTAAATTCAGTGGAATTCAACCGGGTGATTTGGATGCCAATTTCAGTAGTAAACATCTAACAACGCTCAAATCGACCTATCAAAAATTAAGATTCTTAGTTGATAATGGTATCATATTCGTTGGTCATGGATTAAAAAATGACTTTAGGTATTTGATCAATTGTTTCATTTATCAATTATCACACTTTTTAATCTATTTATTATCATTTATGACAATTTTGTTCTTTTTTTTTTTTTTTTTTTTTTGACGTAATAGGGTAATTAATTTGGTCGTACCTCCAGAGCAAATAGTAGATACAGTATGGCTGTTTCATCTACCTCATCATCGTATGGTATCGTTAAGATTTTTAACGTGGCATTTCTTAGGTAAAACAATACAATCTGAAACACACGATTCTACGGAAGATTCACGAGCTGCTCTGGAGTTGTATCGTAAGTATAAAGAATTGGAAAGTTCAGGAAAATTAGCAGAAAATCTCAAAGAACTTTATACCGTTGGGACCCAGTTACAATGGAAAGTTAGTATCCTTAAACTATCGCAAATAATTATTTATAATTTTATGTGTGTATTCACACATTTATTAATTAATTTGAAAAACTTGTCATTATTACAGGTACCGGATAGCTGATATGAGGTTAGTGAGTGTAACAATGAAACTGATAACATGGAATTAGAAAACGATAATGAGGTCCAAGTGATAAATGCATTTGAGTGTATAATAGGCCAAGTAAATAGTTCAAAAATTAATTCGTCTGACGAATTTTAAATTTAAAAGAAAAAAAAAACAACAACAACGTTCGATTAATCCAATTTTAAGTTCTTCTCTCTTTTTTTTTTCTTCTTCTTCTTTTTTTCTTCTTCTTTACAATGATAAAACGTTTTATTCATTATATGTATATATATATATATATATA